ATACATCTACAAAAACCACAAGCTTGAGTCTTAATAAAAATTCCAGGGAGATTCCTAAAACAGTTTAGATTTAAGATATCCAGAGTTGGCAAACTTCTTAAAATCCTTAGTTACACTTTCAAGATTGACTAGGACCAATCCCCTGAGGTATAAGACTCTCAGGATTTGTCAAACTGAGATACAAATATCAAACTTGCATGTGCCACAAATGGCGGGGGCCTAGAGTGCTGGTCATAGGGGATCGAGAAAAGGTGGTTTGGATGACTCCAGCTGTGCATTTCCAGATTTTCAAACTTCTTATAATTGAACCTTAACTTGTTGCTTCTTGACATTACACATTTTTTTTAATTCAATAGTGCTCTCCAAATTGTTTTCCTCTTAATTTTGTTACTTTTCTTTTTAAACCATAACTCCAGTTTAGGATTTTTTTGTCTTGTCATTTGATATAGTTCCTTGGGTTTTTCGGTTCTGTGGAAATATACATTCAGAAAATTCCAGGGTACACTCTTCTGATCCTAAATATTGTTGTTGCATATGTGCACAATATTTCTATAAGCTTCTACTACATGTAGCATATGCTCTGTAATTATGCAAGCTATTGTCTTAAGGTAAGATTTTAAATTATGACTATTTAATATTGTCTAGATAATGCTTTTTTTGTAATAAAAAAAAACCCCTTAGTTATTCCAGTCTAAGATAGTTAATGCCAAACCTTTCAGTCATTTACAAAAACAATTGGAAGGAGCGGTAGCTTAGGTAACTTTTGTATTGTTGTGGTCCTTTAGACCAAGGGTTCTCAAACTCCATTGCACCAGGACCCCCTTCTGACAACAAAAATTACTACATGCCCCCAGGAGCGGGGACCAAAGCTTGAGCCCACTTGAGTCCGCTGCCATGGGCGTGGGGGGCCAAAGCTCAAGAGCTTCGGCTTTAGCTCTGGGCAGTGGGGCTCAGGCTTTGGCTTTGGTCCCGGCAAGTCTTAACGCCAGCCCTGGCGACCCCATTAAAACAGGGTCACGACCTACGGTTTGAGAACCGCTGCTTTAGACAAATACATGTGCTAACTTTCAGTGACCAATTAAAAATAGTAGTAGAAACTTAGTACTATTAAGGATCCGATTTTAAAATGACAAACTTCAGGAAATAAAAAGAATAATGCTGCCGTTTTCTGAGCATTATGAGTAACAGATATAATGCTGACAGCTTGTATTAACCAGGTTGCATAGGGCATTCAGCAAAGAAATATCTTAGCTAATTTTTTTGTAATTCCTTTATTTCTGCCTCTTGAAATCCTTTGGCAATTACTAATTTATTAAAGACACTTTAGATCGTTCTGCATCATGAATTGCACAGGATCTCTGGTATCAATTAAGTTAATGAACTGTTTATTTTAGTGTCTTGATTAAACTGGGAAGTCAGAGCTCTTGGAAAGAATTTAAGTTAATGAACACTTTGTGCTAAATGACCCTTTCTCTCCTCACACCCTCCCCCGAAAAAAAAAAGCCTGGTTAGTGGTGCAATTCAGTGGATGTTTTAGGGTTTAAGTCAACTTTAATTTCAGCTTTCCAGATCCCCTTTTAAGATTGGAATGTCAATTAGATATTTATTATTTAAAGAGGTAGGATGATTTCCAAAATTCAACCTCCCCCCTTTAGAAATGACACCTTTTGTTCTAAAATATCTTCCTTGCATTGTAAAAACATCCAAAAAAAAAAAAAGTTACAGCAGTGTTAACATTCCATATCAGGAGTTGGACAACTCAGACAATAACAAATCCAGGATGATGTTTATAGATGAATGCACTCCCATTGCACAGTCCATCAACTCTCTGTTGTCAGCTCCTTTCCTGTGAACCAGAAGGGAACTGAAATTGACTAAAATCCTGCTTTCCAAATGTCTGAATGTAAGATTCTTACCAACTTCAGCCCCTGCTGGCTCTGAATCATGGAGCCGCAGTGATAAGTGATAAATGGTGTAGCATGTATCTGTGATCCTGGTACATACTGAGTTTTGTTTGTGTTGCTTATTAAAGCCCTGGTTTAGGAGAAGTTATTGCAGCTCCTGGTTTGGAGTAATAGTCTGCCTTTCTTATAAGAGAAATTAGTATCTAAAAATGTAGAATTTTGGGGGGTGATTTTTTTTTTTTTTAAATATTAGATTTTTGGGTCTGTTGACACTGATGGGCTTCTAATATTTTGTGTATAATAGATATACAGCATATGGAACATGATATGTATGTCTAAGCTTCAGAAAAATAAAAAGTTGTGAAAATCCTAAAGCAAAAATGGAATGTGTAAAGGTAGCCCGAAAATGAGTCCTGGGTAAAAACTATGGTAAGCATGCTCTTATGATTTGTATCTCTTTGCTTTTTGTTTAATCAAAACAGAGCATGAATGATTGAGAAGGAGCATGCACAAGTCTTGCAGTAGCATGCACAAGACTTTATATGGTATGTCTACACTGCAACGTAAGCCCCTGCTTGAGCTTGGGCTCGGGCTCAAGCCTAACTCCCCTTTGCATCTGCAGTGCAACTGTGCTAACCCAGGGTCCCAGGGCTCAGACCCAGGGTCCCAGGACTCTGCAGGGCTGGAGGGTCCAAGCACAAGTCAAGCTGAGATCCAGGGTCCCAGCCCTATTGATTTGTAGTGTAGATGCAGCCCCGCTTTACTCAGGTCCTGAGAGTCTGCCAGAAGTACCACAATTCCATGGGACAGTTTCCTTAAGTCCCCTCTTAGTCCCAACAATCTACAATCCACTGTATTGAAAATGGAAGCCACACCCCTTGGTGAATGGCAGCAGCTCAGCTAATCGTTAACCCAGGGGTCGGCAACCTTTCAGAAGTGGTGTGCCGAGTCTTCATTTATTCACTCTAATTTAAGGTTTCACATGCCAGTAATACATTTTAACGTTTTTAGAAGGTCTCTTTCTATAAGTCTATAATATATAACTAAACTATTGTTGTATGTAAAGAAAATAAGGGTTTTAAAATGTTTAAGAAGCTTCATTTAAAATTAAATTAAAATGGAGAGCCCCCCCCCCCCCCGGACGGGTGGCCAGGACCTGGGCAGTGTGAGTGCCACTGAAAATCAGCTCGCGTGTTGCCTTCGACACGCGTGCCATAGGTTCCCTACCCCTGCGTTAACCCATTCTCTTCTGATCACCAAACTGAAAGCACAGTATTAGAGAACCTCCTGGGTTTGCAATGGAAAGTAAGCCAATCAAGCTTTTTTCAAAGTGAGCTGCTTCATGGTCATGGGAGCACAGCCAAATTTTGGTGAATTTCTGATGTAAAGCAAGTAAAACTGTGGACTTCAGCAAAAGCACCAAAAATGACCACACATACTAGCAGGTAGCTAGAAAGCTAGCAGATCTGCAGATTGTCTGGACAGGTGATCAATGCAGGGAGTGCATTAAGAGGCTGAAGAGCGAGTAGCTGAAGACCAGGGACTAGAACCACACCTTGGGCAATTGTTCAACAACATGCCCACTTTATGATGACTTTGACAAGGTTCTGGGCACTGTGCCCAACACAGAGCCAACCATATTTCATGAAGATCTTGTCAGTCAGGATGGTGCCCTCTTGGTCACTGAATCCAGCATGGAGACTGATGGGAGCCAGCATTAGGCTCCCAGTAAGGAGCATGAAGTGACTCTTTTAATGAAATCATTCCGAGAGCAGGCTGTGGATCAGGATCAACAGCAAATTCTTGGTCCCTACTTAGAAGAACTGTTTGATTCCCCCTGCCCTGAAGGAACAGCCCTTTGCTGAATCTATAGAAAACTTGGTGGAGAGAGAAGCCACCCCAGAGCCCGGTAAGTGTATGACTGAAACATACAGTTTATTATTACAGTAGCGGGAGGGATTTCTGCTGTAAGAAGCAATGCAAAAATGATAAGCCCCGGCTAGCAGTGTGCAGCCACCAATGGCAGATTGTATCACAGTGCCTTGGTGTCTCCACTTCCACCACTACGTGGAGTTCAAAATGACAACTTGGAATTTCAAACTTCATAAACAGCTGTTATTTTAACTGTTAAGTCACAGATGTTTGCTAGGGTCATTCATGTTTTCCTTTCAGTAATAAATTTGCCACTCTGTAATCACTCCTCCGGGGTCCATGGAGCAGCCTTTAAACAGTGAACTGAGTGTGTTGTATTTGGGAAACAGTATTCTATTTCCAAATTTAGTCCATTTCAGCTAGAGGTAATCCATGCAGTATGTGGGTCACAAAATCATTTCTCCAAAGTATGAGTGGGCTGCCAGTTTTTCCCCAGAACTATGCCGGGTGCGGGGTGGAGGAAAGCTGCAGATTTCAGAATGTTCGCGTGCAGCAATAACAGAGTAAGCCATATGTGAGCTAACACAGCATCATATTAATTCCCTCATGGCTTATGACCCAATCTTGGCTGCTGATAGCTGCAAACTTTTCCTGAAGCAGGACTCCAGATAGTCAATCACATTGCAGGGAAGGGTGTATTTTCTAGGCCCCCCCTTGTATAGCTGACTAGTCCACTCCAACAACAGATTTGCTGTTTAGTCACTATACATTTGAATACTTCAGCTGCATACACTGCAGGTTTCCCTCCAGGTGCTTCGAGTAACAGCTCCCTCTGCTAATAGGGTACCACAAGAACAGTTGTCTTTCACAATATGGAAGGCCTGAAATGACAGAAAAAGCCTTTTGCAGCAAGGGCACTATATACACCAGCCTTCTGCCCCCCATGGAAATTAAGAAAATGTTATGAAACACAAAAAAGGGTTATAATTTTAAACTTACCGTTGTTTCTGCACTTCTGTGATTGTGATTAACAAGGCTGTATCCAGAGACAGTCTGAGGACTGAAGCATCCCCTTCACATTATGTGTTAGTTCACTTTAGAAATATTACGTTTTGTCCTTGAGATTCCACAAAAATTAATTCTGTGCTCTAGCTTAGACAATTACCCCCTATTTCATGTCCTACTTCAGGACCCTCAACCTATGTATCGCCTGCTCTTTTTCAGGAACTCGATCCCTGGCTCAACGTACCTTCACATTCCAAAAGGAAGTGTTTCCATGATCAAGTTGATGTTCTTGAGAGGACAGACCAGCAGGTCCAGTACCAGAAGAAGAGTGACAAAAGACTGGAACAATGGCATGTTGACAGGCAGGAGGACAGGCTGAGGTTTGCTGTCCAGGTGGAGGACAGGTTTCAACTAGGGAGCAGGCACTTGCAAAGCAGTGCCTGGCATAGGAATGGCGGCTAAGGGAGGAGGACAATGCTCAACAGAGAGAACTGTTTCAGCAACTCCTGTCCATACTGGCTGCAAGAGTACTATCTCCAGCTGCCTCTCCAACTCCATGGCATGATGTTCCTGCAACATACCCTCAGTCCAGCAGTAACTTAGATAATTCTGTCAGGTGGCCTATGCATTCAGGACTCGTGAGTGGCTGGGCAGGGCAACTAAACCCTGTGCAGCCTTCCTTCATCAATCCCCCCTCTGGAGGAAACCTCCACCACCCCTGCCGCCTTCAAGTGGTGGAAATCTTCCTCTCCCCTCCCGCCCCCCCACACCACCACCACCACCAAGTGAGGGGGAAATGTGTAAAGAAGGGACAGGAGAATGTTGGGCCAGGGAACATGTAGTGATAGGGGGATTATGTCGTGTATTAACTATTTCCTGCCCTTTTGGATGTGTGGTTTTGGAATGGCAGCTGGCCTGCCCAACGCTGTGTGTTTTACTATTTTAGAACATGTTTACAAATAAAGCATGTTATATTTTCGAGAACGTTTATTGATATTGCATTGCATCGCATCATAGAATTATGGCTTGAGATAGTAAAGCTAAAATATGTTCAGGAGCAATTAATAGGTTTGCTTACCAATGCTTCTTTTATTTAGGTAAGGTACATCAATTCACATTTCAATAAACTGGCTGTACACCCATTCTGGTCTCCCCCACAACCAAGTTCATTATTCATCATGTAAAAAGCAACAGAGGGTCCTGTGGCACCTTTAAGACTAACAGAAGTATTGGGAGCATAAGCTTTCGTGGGTAAGAACCTCACTTCTTCAGATGCAAGATATTATTCATCATGTCATTCAGACTTACATTGCATGTGAATCAAGCCTACACCCCTCCCAAGCGCTGCCCACCTTCAAAATAATTAATAAGCCACTTTTTCCTCACAAGCACATTCCTAAAGGTACTATTCATCCTCTTCCTTTGGGCCATGCAAGTTCATAATGTGAGAACACAAAGCATCTGTGACTTCTGCTGCCCAGTGCAACCAGCTCCCACATGGTACCTGTACTTCCTGGTTGAGGGTACTGATCCAGTATCCCCTTGCTATCAGAGGTCCAGTCAGGGGGAAATAGCTCACCTCAGGCTTCGCAAAGGCTGTGAAGAGCACAGCAAGCCACAGTAATTGACATCGTTGATGACACTGGCATCCAAATGAGATTGTAGACACCTCCAATGTGATTTTAATCTGCCAAAAGCACATTCAACAACCATTCTACATGTGCTGAGTGTGTAATTAAACCTTCTTTTGCCAGGGTCTCTGAAATGGTTTCAAATGCCAAGGCAAAAGGGAGTATGTGGGGTCCCCCAGAATAGCAATGGGGAGAGCAACATCATTTCTGTCAATGTCATTTGGTGGGAATAATGTCCCAGTGTAGCCATGAATGCAGACTCTCAAGTGGCGAGAAACTCTGGCATCACAAACTTTTCCAGTACAGACAACGCTGATGTTCGGAAATCTCCCTCTATAGTCTACTAGTGCCTGCATAACTGAGTACCCTTTGCAGTTTAGGTACTCGCGCTCCTTGAGGAGGGTAAACTATGGGCACATGAGTCCCATTAATGGCCCCAGCACAAGTAGGAAACCCCATTCTCCCAAAGCCAGCAATTACCTCTGGAATATCTTTAATGCATGCCACCTTGGGGTAAGCCACTCAGTTGCCTCTGCCACTACTTTACTAACAGTCAGCTTTCCAACCCCAAACTGTAGATGCTCAAGCCCAGGGTTCCCTAACACGAGTCAACCAACTGGAGTCCCACTAACCTTGGGCTTACAATGCAGTGTAGACATGTTCATAGTGAGGTGTTAAGATCATACCTTGTGAAACACAAAGATGACGGACTTAAAATGCTTCTGAGAAAGTGTTTTCCCAGGAAGTACTCTGATTTCTGTTGATACAAGATCTCAATACCTAGGGATCCCTATTTTGACCATTAGCTTTCCCACCTTTAAAGCTCTCTGCCATAACCAAGATCCTAGCTGAGAACTGGACAAGATTCAACCATGTATTTCTTGATCTGATTGTTAAACCAATATAAAAGCAGGATGGAAAGTGATTTCTTTTCTTTCATGTGGCAACTTGAAAAGCAACATAAAAGATTGACATTCAAGTTTCTCATCCACTCTGTGGCTTGTAGTGACATGGTGTGAACCAAGGTTGTCCCTCCAGAGAAGGATCTTGGAGGACAGCAGTTGACTAGGTGGTCAATAGTTTGGATATCTTCTCCACATTCACATATTGGTTTGTCCTTCTTCTAGTTGTATAGTAGATAATTGCAACACCTGAGTGAGGTTCTGACATGGTTCACTGTGATCCATATCTTAGATGGCACAGTGAAGCCAAGTTGTTGGTCTGTAATATCCATAATCTGTTCTTGATCCTGCTGTCTTCTCACAGCCTCAGCCAGTTGTCTTTTGATGACAGTCCCAAGTTTTAAGAGCTTTGGCTGCTACTCAGACAGGGTTCCTGGACCTAAGACAGCATCGTCAGGTGGGCGGGGGGGAAGGGGAGGGCAAGTTTAGAGATCTTCATAAATGGGAAAATCTGGGTTTGTTTATTGCATTGTCATAGTGCTGTATTATTGCTGCTCCTCTTCGGAGGGATGATGGTGAGATATGTGCAATGAAGTGAGACTGTTGGTGTTGACTTCAGCACTCCTGTGACAATTCCCATAGCAGTGAACAATTGCATGTTGACAAGTTTCATATGTACTTTATCCATACTAGTGCGCAGTATTCAGCTACTGAGAAGACAAGGGCCAAGATGGCTGTCTGCAAGGTGTGAGCATCTGCTCCCCTATTGGTCCCAGCTAATTTGTGGATTTTATTATCCTTAGGCTTTATTTTGACAGTGGTCTTTGTCAGATGTTGTATGTGAGGCTATGATCCAGAACCACTCCAAGGTATTTCAGGAAATCCTCGTGCCTAAATTTCATGTAGCAGAAAGTGACGTTTAGGTGCTTCTTTGCATGGTGGTTGCTCAGATTGAATGCGGAGACAGTTGTTTTTTTGAAGGTTTGGTCAGTCTCCATAATCAATAATACTCCTCCAGTGTTTTCAGAGCTTCTGTGATTCATTCTGCTTGGGTAAAAGTGCTCACTTGGATGGTGAATGTGAGATCATCCGCTGTCCAAAAGTCTGGGTCTGGGTCAATGGCATATTGCTGATACAAATATTAAAGAGTGATAGTGCCAAGATTAATATCTGTGGGAGCCTATTGTTAGTAGACAGGGTCTGTTAGTCTGTTCCATTAGTATACAGAAATCTTGCAGTTGGTGACATGCCTGTCAGTACATGCAGTGTTGTTCTGCATACACTATTTTGACAATTTCTAAGCATTTAAATGTTGAACAACAAAAGCTTTCAAAATCCTAACACAACTGCTACCAAGAGATCTAGTCAGCATTATGGGGGAAACTACACAGTCATAGAGCCATTTGAGAGCATTACTGCAATGTGCTCTACCTTGGGCTATGTTAGAAGACCACTTGAAAGATTCAGCTAGTATAAAATGCAGCACCCCACCATCTTGGTAGTATGTATTAGCATAAAAAATCACACCTGTGCTTCATGAACTGCACTGATTTCCTTTTGTGGTGAATCGTTGGTGTAGATTTTGTGTTGTTCAGTGCCATCTTGTTCCAGAAAGTGTTCTGATGGTGAGAAGTGTGTTGCAGAAATGTTTGTATTTAAAAATGCTAGTAGTGAAAACCTGACTTTTTTAGATTTTGAGTTTCTGCGCTTGGAACAGGAAAAACAGTATTTTAGATTCTGCAGATAGCACATCACCTTCATTTTTGCTTCTTCAAAATTTCTTATTTCTTGAGTCAGAAAATGTTAGTTTCTGTTTCACCCAGCTTAATTACCTCGGTTGCTATAATTGTGATACTATATTCTCAAATGGAAAACTGCAAAAGTTTTTTAGTAGCAAGATTTCAGCTCAGGATTTGCACAGATATCTTTTGACATTAGCCAACAAGCCCATAGCAAACAACAAATGTACAACCATAACTAAGAAGCTTGTAGACATTGCAGCTATCTTTTCTGCTATTGCATTTCTAAGAGTCGAGTACCTTTTTAAATTAAGGTTTCCACTCCACCTTTACTTGCCACAGATTACACACAGTGAGGAGGATTTTTCATTATGTGAACTCAGATTGTAGTGCTTAGCAAAATGGGCACTTTTCTTCTAACATATATGTATGTTATTGGGAAACTACATGTAGCAAGGTTATTTAATTAAATGACAATTTATTAAAAAAGTGAAGCACCTTTAAAAATCAAACTTAAGTGAATTGTTCTACGTTTTTCTTCTGTTCAGCTTAATCTTGCTCCAGAAGGGCAGTTTCTGTTCTCAGGGGACTGTTTCAGAACATGCTAGGTGTAATAAATGTGTGAAACATTTGCTTGCTTACCTTTATTTGTTGGCCGCAATCATGACAGGGTCAGTATCTACTGACTCCAGCAGCTTCTGTTGCATCTTCTCTCCTTTCTGAAAATCAAATGTAAATACAATAATACCAGCTAAAAATAACAACAGACTAATTTAATTAACACAATACACAAATGCAGGTGGATAGGATGAAGGCCAGGCAAGAATACTTGAACTCCTGCAAGATGACAGGATTATTCTGCCTTTTATTGGACATCTGTCACTATTTGTTATCTTTGAACATCAGTGGCATTCTGAACACACAGGCATTTCTTGTTTTTAAAACAGTTCCTTCTGCAGTGGCTTCTTCGATTGCTGAGATTGATCTGATACTTGGAGCTTCTCTTTGCTGCTCCTGGTGTTTTAGTGGTTAGTGGTTCTTACATCTGGTAGAACAGGAGCTCTGCCAGTAGTGTTCTAGATCAGAGGTTCTCAACCTTTTCTTTCTGAGGCCCCGCCAACATGCAATAAAAACTCCACGGCCCACCTGTGCCACAATAACTGATTTTCTGCATCTAAAAGCCAGGACCAGCATTAGGGGGTAGCAAGCAGGGCAATTGCTGGGGGCCCCACGCCACAGGGGCCTCCATGAAGCTACATTGGTCAGGCTTCAGCTTCAGCAGTGGGTGGCAGGACTCAGGGACTGGGCTTCAGCCCCATGTGGTGGGGCTTCAGCTTTCTGCCCGGGGCCCCAGTGAGTCTAATGCTGGCCCTGCTTGGAGACCGCCCTGAAACCTGCTTGAGGCCCCCTACGGGGCCCCAGACCCCAGGTTGAGAACCACTGCCATACTTGTTTTTGTTTGGGTGTTCTCTGTTTTTCTCATGAGACTTTTAGGGTGATTATGACACGTGACCTTGGTGAATATGATAGAAATGATATATTGCCTGCTTTCTGTTTTGGAATTTAACATTCTTCCCCATTTGCAATGGGGGTAAATTGTACGACATTTTTGTCATAGTATGCTTATCATAAAATATTTCAG